CTATTGCGAACACAATGATACCAAATTGAAAAACCTAGGACGAGAATTGAGGTAACAAAGTTGAAAAGATTATACACTTTTCAGAATTACCGCGCGCTTCTGCACCCGCCCTGGGTAGTGTGGGGTGTGTACGTCTGCTCAGAACATCAAAGTGTTAAGACCAGGAATTCTGTCTAACGAAGCTGCAAGCTAAAACACCGTTATCCTATAATGTTCATCTGTAGCTTGACCCTAAATACTCGTTTATTAAACGAATTTATTGTTAGAGTTCATTAGGAATCAACGTTGTTGAAGGCAGAGTTTCCAACAAATACCGTCCTGTGATTGGCTGTTGCGGGGAATGCCAACGCGTATATGAATAAAATGCAAAATAAGAAATAAGTCTTTTTGCTCAATAACCTTGTTGTTGTTGTACAAAAGAACAACAATTTCTGTTTTATACAAGACAGAAATTTCTATCTAAGTGAATAATGTAGACCAATAAGAGGACGGAGGCATATTGTATCGCCAATATTATTTGTGTGAGGCAACACCCTCTGATGACGTCACAAGTTAGGTAGCCAGCCCATGTTTCTGTAACACTCGTTACGTCCTGCAGTATTTAATTATCACTATATTAATACTTTTAAATACTTAACATTTCACTTTTAAAGTAGATTAAAGTTGAAGCAGAATGTCATAAGCAAGGATGTTGTGCTGAATAAAGATGATTTATTACGTGGCTGGAGCCTTTAGCTGATCCCTTCCTGTGATTGGCTGTTGTGTGAATGTCAACAAAGAATATCTACCCCCATACCATCTGTGGGCGGAGCTAGGAACCTCCTACCCGAGCACAACAACCCGCCTTATGGGTTGCTGTTCGGCTATTTGTAGTGCGTTGGAAAAAAACTAGATGGCGTTAGTGGTATTTTGTGGGGTAATTTGTTATAAGTGTAATTTGATGTCAACAGATGGCGTAAGCTGTACCTTATGGCCACTGTTGACCAGCCAGTTGATAGTGTTCTCTTCTGCCGACAGATGGCATCAGCTGTATCATTATTACTTCCGAATTCCCTTTTAAAAACTGATCTACAAATCCCTTGGCTTATGATAAGGTTTTATACCATTTATGATAAGTATTAGATAACTGGAGTTCTACAATTACTTTTATTTATCAACTGTTGAGGATATCATCATATAACGTCTGGTTAGGACGTACTGCTCTCGATTGATGAAGATTAAGCCACCCAAGAGGTGGCACGGGCATGAATAGCCCGTAAAAACTGCTCTCGTAATATTATTCAGGGGGGTGGGGGAACTATCAAGTGAAAGCGCCAAGCCATTATGACTATACAGCACCCGGAAGGGATCAGGATAAGGATTTGGGATGGGACGGGGGAAAAAAATGGTGCCCAACCTCTTGGGCGGTTGGGGATTGAACGCCGACCTGTAGGAAACGAGACCGTCGCTCTACCGTCCAACCCAAGTGGTTAAGCGTAATATTATTAAAACAACAATTTATGCATATAATAACAGCATTTCACACTAAAAATACTTGGATATATTGAAATTTGGTAGTGAATTCCAATCTAGGAATCTCCTATGACTAAACTGTACTTTTTAATCATTTTTATGTACTTACTACTAATTATTAAATTATTAAGTACTTACTATAATAATTAAATAAATTATTTTATTTAATATTTAAATTAAATGATAAAATGATAGGTAATAATAAATTATTGTGTAGGGGAACAGGCAGCCAGTGTATATATACATGTTAGGCTTATACTAAGGTGCCACAAAGGTGCCAAATTAAAGACTGGGTGCTGCCGGGGCGGACCCAAGGGCTGCCGGGGCGGGCCCAAGGGCTGCCGGAGCGGGCCCAAGGGCTGCCGGGGAGAGCCCAAGGGCTGCCGGGGAAAGCCCAAGGGCTGCCGGGGTGGGCCCAAGGGCTGCCGGGGCCGGTCCAAGGGCTGCCGGGGCCGGTCCAAGGGCTGCCGGGGCGGGCCCAAGGGCTGCCCATAGCGAATGATTTCATTCACCTGGGTTCTAGGAGGCTCGAACTGTGAACCCCATGCGTGTAAAGCCGAAGCTCTGCCGACCGAGCTATTGAGTGACCTTAATAAGGAAGAGGATGAGCTTAGCCAATGAGCTTAGAGCATGAAGATAACGTAAGGATGGCATGCTGGTGTCTGGTTTATTAAATACAGACCATCCTTGATACAGGGATGGCTTCGGCGAGTGGGCTCCAGCTCTCAGGCCCCGCCTCCTGTTAGCAGCCTAGGAACTTTCCCTAGAAATAACCCTAGAATGACCAATTCTAGAGTTATTTCTAGGGAATAACTATTCCTTAGATAACTAATCAGTTTTTACATAGGTACCCCAGTTACTGTCGGGTGAAGCGAGGCGAACAATTACAAATTGGTGCCCAGTCAATCTTCCCTGACCGAGACTCGGACCCAGACCAAATCGCCAGGGGATGTTTGAATGTATACCAGACAAAGTCCATTTAATGACAGAATTTAGCCATTTTGTGTAAAAACTTTTATATCTCTTATTATTAATTATAACAGTAATCGAAAAAATTCATAGTTTGCATATACAAGAGATGAAACAGAGAGCCATGAGCTAGAGCGATGTGCTGAGTCCATAAGGAGACGGAGCTTCCAGAAATACCTTCCTGTGATTGGCTGTTGCGGAGAATACCAACACTCTTTTATGAATAAAATTTAAACTAAGAAATAGGTCCTTGTGCACAACAACAAGGTTGTTGTGAAAAAGAACAACAATTTTTGTTTTGCACCTGCCAGAAATCTCCATCTAACTGAATAATTTACTCGAATAAGAGGGCAGAGCAGCGTATCATTATTTGTGTCAAGGCAACCGCCAATAATGACGTCACAAGTCAGGTAGCCAGTCCATTTTTATATAACATCTTTTATATCCTGCATTATTTAATTATCCTTTATGTCTTTTGTCCTGTAGAGAATTATATTGCGAACACAAAGATACCAAAATGAAAGACCTATGACGAGAATTGACGTGACCAAAGTGAAAGGAGTGTACACATTTTAGCGGTCTTGCATGCTCCAGGGTAACACACTCTCACTTCCTCTGTTTATTGCGGATAGTACGCTGGGCATTTGGACTTAATATGCCTTTAGTCCTGTAGAGAATTCTATTACGAACACAATGATACCAAATTGAAAAACCTAGGACGAGAATTGAGGTAACAAAGTTGAAGAGAACATACATTTTTTCAGAATTATCGCACGCTCCCACGGACTCCACAAACCCACCCAGGTTGTGGGGGGGGGGGCGGTGTGTGCTCAGAGTATCATAGTGTTAATTAAGACCAGGGATTCTGTCTAACGAAGCTGCAAGCTAAAACATAGTTATCCTATAATGTTCATCTGTAGCTTGACCCTAAATACTCGTTTATTAAACGGATTTATTATTAGAGTTCATTAGGAATCAACGTTGTTGAAGGCAGTTTCCAACAAATACCTTCCTGTGATTGGCTGTTGCGGGGAATGCCAACGCTTATATGAATAAAATGCAAAATAAGAAATACGTCCTTTTGCTCAATAACCTTGTTGTTGTTGTACAAAAGAATAACAATTTCTGTTATATACAAGACAGAAATTTCCATCTAAGTGAATAATGTAGACCAATAAGAGGACGGAGGCATATTGTATCGCCAATATTATTTGTGTGAGGCAACACCCTCTGATGACGTCACAAGTTAGGTAGCCAGCCCATGTTTCTGTAACACTCGTTACGTCCTGCAGTATTTAATTATCACTATATTAATACTTTTAAATACTTAACATTTCACTTTTAAAGTAGATTAAAGTTGAAGCAGAATGTCATAAGCAAGGATATTGTGCTGAATAAAGATGATTTATTACGTGGCTGGAGCCTTTAGCTGATCCCTTCCTGTGATTGGCTGTTGTGTGAATGTCAACAAAGAATGTCTACCAATGATATGCCATTTATTATGCACCCCATACCATCTGTGGGCGGAGCTTGGAACCTCCTACCCGAGCACAACAACCCGCCTTATGGGTTGCTGTTTGGCTATTTGTAGTGCGTTGGAAAAAAACTAGATGGCATTAGTGGTATTTTGTAGGGTAATTTGTTATAAGTGTAATTTGATGTCAACAGATGGCGTAAGCTGTACCTTATGGCTACTGTTGACCAGCCAGTTGATAGTGTTCTCTTCTGCCGACAGATGGCATCAGCTGTATCATTATTACTTCCGAATTCCCTTTTAAAAACTGATCTACAAATCCCTTGGCTTATGATAAGGTTTTATATCATTAATGATACGTATTAGATAACTGGAGTTACGCAATTACTTTTATTTATCAACAGTTGAGGATATCATCATATAACGTCTGGTTAGGACGAACTGCTCTCGGTTGATGAAGATTAAGCCACCCAAGAGGTGCCACGGGCATGAATAGCCCGTAAATACTGCTCTCGCAATATTATTCAGGGGGGTGGGGGAACTATCAAGCGAAAGCGCCAAGCCATTACGACTATATAGTACTCGGAAGGGATCAGGATAAGGATTTGGGATGGGACGGGGAAATGAATGGTACCCAACCTCTTGGGTGGTCGGGGATTCAACGTGGACCTGTAGGAAACGAGACCGTCGCTCTACCGTCCAGCCCAAGTGGTTAAGCGTAATATTATTAAAACAACAATTTATGCATATAATATCAGCATTTCACACTAAAAATACTTGGATATATTGAAATTTGGTAGTGAATTCCAATCTAGGAATCTCCTATGACTAAACTGTACTTTTTAATCATTTTTATGTACTTACTACTAATTATTAAATTATTAAGTACTTACTATAATAATTAAATAAATTATTTTATTTAATATTTAAATTAAATGATAAAATGATAGGTAATAATAAATTATTGTGTAGGGGGACAGGCAGCCAGTGTATATATACATGTTAGGCTTATACCAAGGTGCCACAAAGGTGCCAAATTAAAGACTGGGAGCTGCCGGGGTGGGCCCAAGGGCTTCCGGGGCGGGCCCAAGGGCTGCCGGAGCGGGCCCAAGGGCTGCCGGGGAGAGCCCAAGGGCTGCCGGGGAAAGCCCAAGGGCTGCCGCGGTCCAAGGGCTGCCGGGGCGGGCCCAAGGGCTGCCCATAGCGAATGATTTCATTCACCTGGGTTCTAGGAGGCTCGAACTGTGAACCCCATGCGTGTGAAGCCGAAGCTCTGTCGTCCGAGCTATTGAGTGACCTTAATAAGGAAGAGGATGAGCTTAGCCAATGAGGTTAGAGCATGAAGATAACGTAAGGATGGCATGCTGGTGTCTGGTTTATTAAATACAGACCATCCTTGATACAGGGATGGCTTCGGCGAGTGGGCTCCAGCTCTCAGGCCCCGCCTCCTGTTAGCAGCCTAGGAACTTTCCCTAGAGATAACCCTAGAATGACCAATTCTAGAGTTATTTCTAGGGAATAACTATTCCCTAGAGATAACTAATCAGTTTTTACATAGGTACCCCAGTTACTGTCGGGTGAAGCGAGGCGAACAATTACAAATTGGTGCCCAGTCAATCTTCCCTGACCGAGACTCGGACCCAGACCAAATCGCCCAGGGGATGTTTGTATGTATACCAGACAAAGTCCATTTAATAGCAGAATTTAGCCATTTTGTGTAAAAACTTTATATCTCTTATTATTACTTATAACAGTAATCGAAAAAAGTCATAGTTTGTATATACAAGAGATGAAACAGAGAGCCATGAGCTAGAGCGATGTGCTGAGTCCATAAGGAGACGGAGCTTCCAGAAATACCTTCCTGTGATTGGCTGTTGCGGAGAATACCAACACTCTTTTATGAATAAAATTTAAACTAAGAACTAGGTCCTTGTGCACAACAACAAGGTTGTTGTGAAAAAGAACAACAATTTTTGTTTTGCACCTGACAGAAATCTCCATCTAACTGAATAATTTACTCGAATAAGAGGGCAGAGCAGCGTATCATTATTTGTGTCAAGGCAACCGCCAATAATGACGTCACAAGTCAGGTAGCCAGCCCATTTTTATATAACATCTTTTATATCCTGCAATATTTAATTATCCTTTATGTCTTTTGTCCTGTAGAGAATTATATTGCGAACACAAAGATACCAAAATGAAAGACCTATGACGAGAATTGACGTGACCAAAGTGAAAGGAGTGTACACATTTTAGCGGTCTTGCATGCTCCAGGGTAACACACTCTCACTTCCTCTGTTTATTGCGGATAGTACGCTGGGCATTTGGACTTAATATGCCTTTAGTCCTGTAGAGAATTCTATTACGAACACAATGATACCAAATTGAAAAACCTAGGACGAGAATTGAGGTAACAAAGTTGAAGAGAACATACATTTTTTCAGAATTATCGCACGCTCCCACGGACTCCACAAACCCACCCAGGTTGTGGGGGGGGGGCGGTGTGTGCTCAGAGTATCATAGTGTTAATTAAGACCAGGGATTCTGTCTAACGAAGCTGCAAGCTAAAACATAGTTATCCTATAATGTTCATCTGTAGCTTGACCCTAAATACTCGTTTATTAAACGGATTTATTATTAGAGTTCATTAGGAATCAACGTTGTTGAAGGCAGTTTCCAACAAATACCTTCCTGTGATTGGCTGTTGCGGGGAATGCCAACGCTTATATGAATAAAATGCAAAATAAGAAATACGTCCTTTTGCTCAATAACCTTGTTGTTGTTGTACAAAAGAATAACAATTTCTGTTATATACAAGACAGAAATTTCCATCTAAGTGAATAATGTAGACCAATAAGAGGACGGAGGCATATTGTATCGCCAATATTATTTGTGTGAGGCAACACCCTCTGATGACGTCACAAGTTAGGTAGCCAGCCCATGTTTCTGTAACACTCGTTACGTCCTGCAGTATTTAATTATCACTATATTAATACTTTTAAATACTTAACATTTCACTTTTAAAGTAGATTAAAGTTGAAGCAGAATGTCATAAGCAAGGATATTGTGCTGAATAAAGATGATTTATTACGTGGCTGGAGCCTTTAGCTGATCCCTTCCTGTGATTGGCTGTTGTGTGAATGTCAACAAAGAATGTCTACCAATGATATGCCATTTATTATGCACCCCATACCATCTGTGGGCGGAGCTTGGAACCTCCTACCCGAGCACAACAACCCGCCTTATGGGTTGCTGTTTGGCTATTTGTAGTGCGTTGGAAAAAAACTAGATGGCATTAGTGGTATTTTGTAGGGTAATTTGTTATAAGTGTAATTTGATGTCAACAGATGGCGTAAGCTGTACCTTATGGCTACTGTTGACCAGCCAGTTGATAGTGTTCTCTTCTGCCGACAGATGGCATCAGCTGTATCATTATTACTTCCGAATTCCCTTTTAAAAACTGATCTACAAATCCCTTGGCTTATGATAAGGTTTTATATCATTAATGATACGTATTAGATAACTGGAGTTACGCAATTACTTTTATTTATCAACAGTTGAGGATATCATCATATAACGTCTGGTTAGGACGAACTGCTCTCGGTTGATGAAGATTAAGCCACCCAAGAGGTGCCACGGGCATGAATAGCCCGTAAATACTGCTCTCGCAATATTATTCAGGGGGGGTGGGGGAACTATCAAGCGAAAGCGCCAAGCCATTACGACTATATAGTACTCGGAAGGGATCAGGATAAGGATTTGGGATGGGACGGGGAAATGAATGGTACCCAACCTCTTGGGTGGTCGGGGATTCAACGTGGACCTGTAGGAAACGAGACCGTCGCTCTACCGTCCAGCCCAAGTGGTTAAGCGTAATATTATTAAAACAACAATTTATGCATATAATATCAGCATTTCACACTAAAAATACTTGGATATATTGAAATTTGGTAGTGAATTCCAATCTAGGAATCTCCTATGACTAAACTGTACTTTTTAATCATTTTTATGTACTTACTACTAATTATTAAATTATTAAGTACTTACTATAATAATTAAATAAATTATTTTATTTAATATTTAAATTAAATGATAAAATGATAGGTAATAATAAATTATTGTGTAGGGGGACAGGCAGCCAGTGTATATATACATGTTAGGCTTATACCAAGGTGCCACAAAGGTGCCAAATTAAAGACTGGGAGCTGCCGGGGTGGGCCCAAGGGCTTCCGGGGCGGGCCCAAGGGCTGCCGGGGCCGGTCCAAGGGCTGCCGGGGCCGGTCCAAGGGCTGCCGGGGCGGGCCCAAGGGCTGCCCATAGCGAATGATTTCATTCACCTGGGTTCTAGGAGGCTCGAACTGTGAACCCCATGCGTGTAAAGCCGAAGCTCTGTCGACCGAGCTATTGAGTGACCTTAATAAGGAAGAGGATGAGCTTAGCCAATGAGGTTAGAGCATGAAGATAACGTAAGGATGGCATGCTGGTGTCTGGTTTATTAAATACAGACCATCCTTGATACAGGGATGGCTTCGGCGAGTGGGCTCCAGCTCTCAGGCCCCGCCTCCTGTTAGCAGCCTAGGAACTTTCCCTAGAAATAACCCTAGAATGACCAATTCTAGAGTTATTTCTAGGGAATAACTATTCCTTAGATAACTAATCAGTTTTTACATAGGTACCCCAGTTACTGTCGGGTGAAGCGAGGCGAACAATTACAAATTGGCGCCCAGTCAATCTTCCCTGACCAAGACTCGAGCCCAGACCAAATCGCCAGGGGATGTTTGAATGTATACCAGACAAAGTCCATTTAATGACAGAATTTAGCCATTTTGTATAAAAACTTTTATATCTCATATTATTAATTATAACAGTAACCGAAAAAAAAGTCATAGTTTGTATATGCAAGAGATGAAACAGCGAGCCATGAGCTAGAGCGATGTGCTGAGTCCATAAGGAGACGGAGCTTCCAGAAATACCTTCCTGTGATTGGCTGTTGCGGGGAATACCAACACTCTTTTATGAATAAAATTTAAACTAAGAAATAGGTCCTTGTGCACAACAACAAGGTTGTTGTGAAAAAGAACAACAATTTTTGTTTTGCACCTGCCAGAAATCTCCATCTAACTGAATAATTTACTCGAATAAGAGGGCAGAGCAGAGTATCATTATTTGTGTCAAGGCAACCGCCAATAATGACGTCACAAGTCAGGTAGCCAGCCCATTTTTATATAACATCTTTTATATCTTGCATTATTTAATTATCCTTTATGTCTTTTGTCCTGTAGAGAATTATATTGCGAACACAATGATACCAAAATGAAAGACCTATGACGAGAATTGACGTGACCAAAGTGAAAGGAGTGTACACATTTTAGCGGTCTTGCATGCTCCAGGGTAACACACTCTCACTTCCTCTGTTTATTGCGGATAGTACGCTGGGCATTTGGACTTAATATGCCTTTAGTCCTGTAGAGAATTCTATTACGAACACAATGATACCAAATTGAAAAACCTAGGACGAGAATTGAGGTAACAAAGTTGAAGAGAACATACATTTTTTCAGAATTATCGCACGCTCCCACGGACTCCACAAACCCACCCAGGTTGTGGGGGGGGGGCGGTGTGTGCTCAGAGTATCATAGTGTTAATTAAGACCAGGGATTCTGTCTAACGAAGCTGCAAGCTAAAACATAGTTATCCTATAATGTTCATCTGTAGCTTGACCCTAAATACTCGTTTATTAAACGGATTTATTATTAGAGTTCATTAGGAATCAACGTTGTTGAAGGCAGTTTCCAACAAATACCGTCCTGTGATTGGCTGTTGCGGGGAATGCCAACGCTTATATGAATAAAATGCAAAATAAAAAATACGTCCTTTTGCTCAATAACCTTGTTGTTGTTGTACAAAAGAATAACAATTTCTGTTATATACAAGACAGAAATTTCCATCTAAGTGAATAATGTAGAGCAATAAGAGGACGGAGGCATATTGTATCGCCAATATTATTTGTGTGAGGCAACACCCTCTGATGACGTCACAAGTTAGGTAGCCAGCCCATGTTTCTGTAACACTCGTTACGTCCTGCAGTATTTAATTATCACTATATTAATACTTTTAAATACTTAACATTTCACTTTTATAGTAGATTAAAGTTGAAGCAGAATGTCATAAGTAAGGATGTTGTGCTGAATAAAGATGATTT